CGCGTGGGGGGGTCATAATAATGAGAAATTATTTTTGACTTCAGTGGGACCTTTTTCACTCAAAATCATGTCAAAAAACTTTCAACCCACTTTACAATACAGTATATTTAAGTATCTACTTTGACTTGTTTTAAAAATGTTTCCTTTACAGATTTGCTTGAATTTATTTACAGATTTGCGATGATGCCATTTTGTACAGTTTGTTCACATTGTTATTCAACTGTTTGACCTTTGAACTGTGTTTGATGGATGTAAAACTGGTTTTCATGAGGGTTTTAGCCAAGATTCCTGTCCAGGTTCAACCGACAGATCTTAAGTTATCAGAAGTTAAAAGAAATAGAAACCAGGAAGTGCTGTTTTGCCCCTGGTACCATGGGGCGTGGCTTTATATTTGTTTGTTGAGAGCCTTTCTGATGCCCTCGCTCAGCGCTTTTCAAAACCTTAATTTGACAGTAACTGTTCAGAAAAAGGTCTAAATGTGGGTTTATAATCTCAGAGTGTGAGTGTTTCCATCAGGGCCTGTGTTGATGGCGTAAAGAGAAAAGCAACATTAAACCGGCTGATTTCTCTGGACCTACAGGATCCACTGGGCGGGCACGGAGACGGCCACGCAGTGGTGCGGCTACATGAGCGGCGCCGTCCAGGCRGGTCGGCGGGCAGCTCTGGAGGTGCTGGTTGAGGTCTGCCACGTGGTTCTGACAGCGGAGGAGCAGGAAGCTCTGCAGCAGAGCCAACCCGCCGGGAGCCGTCCGTCCAGCAGACTCCTGTGTCTGTTCAGCAGAAAGGCCGTGGTGGCAGCGCTGACCCTGAGCACTGCCCTCCTCCTGGCTCGACGTTACGATGGACTGCCAAGGATCAGAACTTACCTGACAGACACCCTTTCTGCACGCAAGCTCAATGTACTGCCAAAGTGGTAAAAAAAAAATGGATTTGATGGCAAAATGTTTGAACATAAATTCTCAGTAATTTTAGCAGAGAGGTTGAATTCATATAATTTATCCTGAAAGCCTCGGGCTTCAGAATGGTCCTGTAGTGTTTAAACAGGTTTTCTGGGAGAAAACAGAGCTTTTGTGCTCTACCCAGTTTCCCAGATTGCCATAAAACCTGCATGAAGGGCTTGGAGTAGCGCCACGAGCACATTTGTTCTCCCACAAATATCTGAATGAGTGTAAGACGGATGAAGCAGGCAGAAAATGATAACACCCCGGACTAAGTGATTTTATCAATATCACTAGATTGCAAAGTCGATTGAAAGGATTTTTGATGGCCGTTATGTCTCCTCTAGAGAGTATCTCAAAAGCCTGCTAATCACGGCGTGGCGGTCTGCTCCTCCATCGGCACCGTGGCTCACTGTTTATCACTGGCTCGCGTTGAATTGGCGCTTTTTTCTCTCTGGTTTGATTTAAGCCAATAAACTGAATCATAGCCAACAAACTAAACATGGATGTTTTTGCACAATTTTAGCTAAAGAGAAATGTTTCAGCACAAACTAAATGTGAAAAAACAGTTCACTAAGTTTGACCCCATTAGGAGATTCTGTCATCGTTGCAAACTTAAGACATCTGTACGATCATTAAAGTCCCTGGCAGACCGGCAGCTTTTTTTTTTTTAAATCTTGCATTCCAGTTCACCTATAGCTTCAAAGATTAATGATGAGCATTTAAATAAAGTCCAATTACTGCTTGCATTAAGTGTAATGTGTGTCGTACAACTCGGTCCATTCAGAAGTCTCACACAGGCAGCTAGCGGGCGTCAAATCCAAGTCTGAAAGAGACGAGAAAAGTTTATGTTCGTAAAATAATTACCATGAACTGTTTCACATTTTTGAGATTTGACTTGGAAAATAGYAGCAATCCACGTTTGGTCTTATTTAGTTTAGCCTTTAGATAACTGGTGGCCCGCAGGCCATATGTGGCCCTCGGGTGACTTCCGTATGGTCACAAAAATAATAATAAATAGCTTTTTGATCCACCTACAAATATGAACAGATACTCTCAGTGAAGTTCAACAAATCCAGATACAGATCCATCATCGACAATGAACTCTGCTGTTCTTCACATCACCACCTCAGACATTAACCTGATTTTGAAGCGCTTGTTAAAGCCCAAGAAAAACTGAAAAACATTAAAAGCACTTATTCATTTGTATCAATTTAATACAAAATTGCAAAACAGTTTTTATAAT